CTTTCAAACCATAATAGGGTTTTATCTTTAATACCATATGATATTAGTTTTTTTAACAGGATTTGATGATTGACGGTATCAAATGCCTTGGACAAATCAATAAACACTCCTAGTGTAAAACAAGAGTCTTTAAATGAGTCGGTTATATTGCGCGTAAGTTGAAGAATGGCATGCTCGGTTGAATTATTTTTTTTGAAACCAAATTGGTTTTCGTATAGAATTTTATTTTCAATAAGATAAGAGTAGATTCGGTTGTACATTATTCTTTCTAAAATTTTTGAAAAAACTGGAAGAACTGAAATAGGGCGATAATTTGTTATATTTGTACGATCCCCTGTCTTGAAGATTGGAGTTACTTTCGCTATTTTTAGTTTATCTGGAAAAGATCCTTGTGAAATGGATGCTCTGAAGATTTTATAAAGAATATCTTTTATAACATCATATGAATCAATCACAATATTTGTGTTAATATCATCATACCCAGTAGCTTTATTTCGTTTTAATGACTTAAAAGCAACCTCAAATTCATTAAAAGCTAACTCAGTAAAATTTAGATTTAGACTTATTGATGTTTCGAACTCGTCAACAGATTTATCTTTAATGAATGAAATACTATCGCTTAGTTTTGTCCCGACAGTGGAGAAAAACTTGTTAAATTCAAATGCAATATCATTTGGGTCATTTATTAATTTGTTTTCAATTTGTATAAAATTTGGGAGTAAATTTTTATTTGGTTTAAGTTTTCCAGACACCTCCTTCATGATTTGCCAGACGCGTTTTGAGTTGTGCTTATATTTATTAAGCAAGTTTGAATAGTAGTTTTTTTTTTGCATTTTTGCAAAGCTTTTCAAATAAATTTTTATAAGTTTTATAATTTTGTTGATGTTTTTCTGATTTTGATTTTAGGTATTTAATGTATAGCTTCTGCTTAATTTTTGATGATTTTCTGATACCTTTTGTAATCCAGGGAGATGACATATCTTTATCGCTTAAAACTATTTCAATTAAAGGAAAGTTGGAATCATACACTTGGTAAAAAGTTTTGAAAAAATTGTCGTATATTATGTTGATATTATCATTAAAATTAATATAACCCCAATCTATATGTGATAATTGTTCTCTGAAAGAATTTAAATTATTATTGTTGATAAGCCGTTTTTTTATTAATAACTTTCCCTGCTTCTCTTTTTTTAAATTAACACGAATAGAAAAAAAAATCGGGAAGTGATCGGAAACATCGGTTTTTATAATTCCCTTTTTTAGCGACTTATTAAAAAAATCAGTTGTTAAAATGTTATCAATTAATGATGATGAATGACTTGTGATTCTAGTCGGGCGATTAATTAAAGGTATTGTTCCAGTTTCAAATAAACCATTAAAAAATTTTCTCGAACTTTGATTTTCATAATAATCAAAGGAGTTTATGTTGAAATCCCCGATCAAGTAATTTTTTTTCTTTTCAAGATCAGTTTTCTTTATTATGTTATTTAGTAAAAAATTGCCAAAGTTTTCAATTCTTCCAGTTGGTGGCCTGTAACAACAGCTTATTAGTATATTTTTTGAACGCTTATTTATAAGTTCTATTGTTGAAATCTCTTTGTTTTCATCAGAAACACACATTTCGCTTCGAACTTTATATAGAAGGTCATTTTTAAGAAAAAATAAAACTCCTCCTCCTCGCTTATTTGTACTTCGTTCTAAAATTACTGAATCAAAACCTGGGAGATGGAGATTTGAGTTATTTTTAAAATCTGCATGTAAACACCAGGTTTCAGTTAAACAAAGAACTTTCCGCTTCGCCAATAAAATTTGATAAGTTTTCAAAATTCTTTTTTAAGCTACGTATATTAATGTGGACTGCATTAAGATAATCACTTTTATTTTCGCTTTTTAAAATTTTGCTCACGTTACTAGGATAAAAATAAGAGGTTTCAAATTCAGGAGAATTAATTTCATTAAAATAATTAATATCCGGATCGGATTCGTCGTCTAAGTGTAATGCATGAGTTTCAAATAAATTAATTATTTTTTTAAAATCATTATTATTTGTTTCCATTTTCGCTATAATTTAGATTTGGCAGTAAATAATAGTGTGTGACATGTTGAAAGTCTTTTAGGAAGACTTAGTGATTAATTTATTGCATACCACTTTAGCATATAACGTATATTTAAATATAATGTAAACAAATAAATAATATTAAAAATTAAAACAAATAAATAAAATTAAAACATTTATAAACTATTATAAACATTTATAAACTATTATAAACAAATAAATAAAATTAAAACATTTATAAACTATTATCAACATGGATTTAGAGCAATAGAAAGCAACGAGATATTCTTGGTAAATCCTCTTCTGATTGTATAGGTATATTGAGTGGAGTTACTCAGGGCTCGGTTATTGCTCTACTTTTATTTTTATTAATGACATGCCTGAGTTTTTATCTAATTTCTGTAAGCTATTTGCTGATGACACTCAACTAATTGCAAAAATCAAAAGTTCTTAAAAGAACTTTTATTAACTGGAATCCTATTATGTTTTTAAAACTATATACTACCTATGTTTGTCCGCTGCTTGAGTTTTGCGCTTCAGTGTGGTACCCCTATTTAAAGAAAGAAATTGAGAGACTCAAAAAAATTCAACGCAGAGCAACTAAACTTGTCCTCAATTATAAAACATGAACTACGAATCTCGATTGGCAAATTTGGGATTAACAACACTTTCAGAAAGACAAATGAGAGGCGATTTGATTCAGTTTTTCAAAATCTACAAGAATTTTAATGAAGTTATATTCCTAAATCCAAATATAACACCTACTTGTTTTTCAAATTATCCTGCCGAAAACTTACGGAATATAATTTACAACCATGCCATTGTCAGAGAAATTTCAAATAATTCCCATCGACATAACTTCTTGCATCCCAATGGAATTGCTTGCCAACGAATTTAAAAACAAATACGATAATTTTTGTCTCTCCACCAGAATAAAGTCTACTATAGCAAGGCATCGTTAGATGTCCAGTTCATAGAAGCTAACTACTGTAGATTATTTATAATAATAATAATAATATATATACACACACACATATATATATATATATATATATATATATATATATATATATATATATATATATATACATCTATTTTAGCCTGTGTCTTTCAACAGTACATACTTACACATATGTGTAAGTACCTTATTATACAGTATAATAATATATTAAGTATGGACATATTTATTGAACTGTATCTTATTATACAGTGATATGCAACACGTGTATGCATTATTTTGAATAGTAAATATATCTTTTTTTCAATATCGATCAACATGTAGTATACATTATACTACAACATTTATTATAAATTAAATACTACAACGTTTCCTTTATGGTGATTTTGGTTGTTTCTTCAACTTTTTTTCGATATAAAAATATATTTCTGCTCTTACGACCTAAAATGCATTAAATATATTATATCAGAGTATAGTACCTTTTCCCTGATATAAGTGTGGTTTATTTCTTTTTATGCATAAGAGCAGCAGTATATTTTTATATAGAAAAAAAAGTTAAAGCTACAACCAAAAAATCACCATATATAGAGGAAATATCGTTGTGAAATTAAAAAAAACTTTAATTCCTACAGTTAGAACTATACAAATAACTAACTTATATTAAAATAGCTTTCAAGGAACATTTTCAGCTGATTTAACCTTTTAAATTATGAAATAAAGTTATTTATCTACTGATTTACTTCAATTATCAGATAAAAATAGTTAGTTTCCATTAACAAACCAATAACAAAAAAATTTTCATCTAAAATGTTCGCTGTAGTTAAGGACCGCAACCATTTTAAAAGTTCCAAACTTTTTAAAATTATTTGACGCATGCGTACCTAAACATAACGCTTTTTCCTAATATCAAAATGACCGTGATACAGGGTCGATATTAGGAACTTCGTAAGAAACTATCTTTGAGTAAAAATAAAAAAAAGGTAAGTTTTAGGCAAAAATAAAAAAAAAACATGCCGCTAAGTTTATGTGTAATCTCCGTGACGAATCAAAATTCGAGTTAAAATTATCTGATAAAGATCAAAAAGTTTTGGAGTGAAGCCTGTAAACTAAGTTGCGCGAGAAGAACTCTCAAACATGGTAGCGGTGATGATATGTGGTTTGATGACTATGGAAGGGTGTCAAAAAAATACATTTTATTGATACTACAATAGATCAGGTGCATTACAGAATATATTAATTAAAAATTTGAAGCCATCTTCTCGAAAAATTCGGCTAGGAATTGATTCTACAATCGAGCAACGTAATGATCTTAAGCAAATTGCCACTAAAACTAAAAAATGGTTAACTGAAAATAGTGGCGAGTTCATGGAATGGCTGAAATTAGATTTATTGTTAAACAAAAAATGTAATTGATCGAATATTTTTTTGACAATAAAAATTAAAGTCTCTTTATTTTTAGGTTAAAAACTTAGCGCTTCATATGCCAAAATAAATAAAATCTATTCAAAAGTTCGTTTATAATTATTAATCAGAAGAGCACTTTTTTTAGGAAAAATAGTCGTCAAAAAAATGTTTGTTCGGGTAATTTTTTGACACACGTTTTAAGTTAAACCTAATTCTTATTGTTTTTTTCAGGATAGCTTTCGTTTTCTCTAAAATTCATTAAATATATCTTTAAGCATCATTTCCATAAATTTAATTATGGTCGTTTGGTAACTAAGTAAAACTTGTAGAACTGTTATATAAAAAATCATGCTGTAAAATTAATTTAACAATATAACACATCAATTTAACAATAAAACCATGAAAACACAAATACGCTGTATAAACACGCCAATACAACAAAACCACATAACACAATGTGCTGTAAAAACAGATCAATTTAACATTAAAACCACATAACGTAAATGTAATGTAAAAAATTAACACGAATTGACTTTACAATGTATCGATTAATTTCAGATTCGGTAATGAAATCAAAATTAATTCTGAAATATAACTTTTTAAAAAACCGTTACATGGTTCCTTTAAACATTTTACAAACTGTATACTAAATTTTACAAGTAGTATTACATGAATGTTACAGTTTAGCCTGTAATTAAGAATTGAGCCTGATTGCAAATAGTAGTAGCATGTCGAACAACAGTTGCGCAACAATTTTGTTTTATAATAGAAACTTTTCCTAGCGCAACTTAACGTTTGTTAAGCTGTGCAAGTTACGCTAACAATTTTTGTATAACAAAATTACACAACAATTGTACAATATTTCTATTGGAAGCCAAGCTTTAACAACATCTAAAGAAATGTTATTAGAACAAATCGTTGAGTAAGTTATCGGCACTATATTCCTCAGAAACTTTCGACGTACTTGCTAAACTAAACAAAATTCAAACTAATTGCGTAAAATTAAACTTAATATTAAACATTAAAATTAATGTTAAAAAAATATTTTTATAATAAAAATAAAACCTTTGCTGCATGGCCACCGGTTTCCCTATTTTTGAAGAGCGAATTTTTCTAAAAATTATATACAATATATTATTAATGTAACTTTTATGCAAATTTCATTTTGCTCCACGGAAACGTAAAACAAAAATTAACTTAATAAAACAAATACCTCCTACTACTTTTAGGAACATCAAAACTTTCAGGTTCTATTGACTTGTTCAATATATTAATTGAATCGTTTTCTCTGGAGACAATATGAGAAGCATCTAAATCTATCTAAACTCGTTTTTAAAAAATATTAAAAAATATTAACAGCTATTTAATACTCATATTTGACATTTACTGTACTCATACGACATACTCATGACGTTTAAAAAAGATTTAAAAAAAAAAAAAAAAAAAGCAGTACCTTTTTACGTTTGATATCATAAATATCGATACTAAAAGACATGTATATGTAAGATATATATATATATATATATATATATATATATATTATATATATATATATATATATATATATATATATATATATAAATGTAAGACATGTATAAATGTAAGATAAATAACTATGTTAATACATTAAAAAGTAAATTTATAAGTAAATAATAATGAAGAAAGATCAAAGACTACCTTTCTAATTCTGCACTTTTTGCTGCTTTATTTTCTATATTATAAAAAATTTTTTTGGAATTTTAATTTTAATAACTATATAAATAAAAATAATAAAAAAAAAGTGAAAGTTGTAGATGTTTTCATGATTATGTGTATGCGTTTCTAAAAATATATTTTATATTGCATTATATCTAATACAAATATACATTCAAATATAATAAACTTAAACTGATCCTTCGAGTAGTTTCAAAACTTAATAAAAACTGATCCTTCGATTTGTTTCAAAACTTAATCAAAACTGATATTTTGAGTGGTTTCAAAACGTAATCAAAACTGATCCTTTGAGTGGTTTCAAACTTAATCAAAACTGATCATTGGAAATACTCAAACAAAGAATTTCAAAAGAATTTGTAAAATAACTTCAAAAAATATTTTATAGACTTCATAGAAACTTCAACAAAAAATTTTTTTTTCTCTCATTCAGTGTTTATAAATTTTAGAGTTTAATAGAAATTTTTAATAATTTAAAAGTAATTTAAGATTTTAAGGTAGATCACTTTCACAAATGGCACGTAACTAAAAGTCTCTCAAAAATGTAATTTCGCAATATCACAAATAATAAACAAGTTTTTTGATTAATATTATTTAAATTTCTTTTATATAACATCTTTAAAAAGTTTAGTAAAATTAATCATCATCATCTTTTTCTATTCTAGTAAAATTAATCATCATCATCTTATTCTTGATTCTATCAAGATTTATTGCTATCAGACTGCTATCAGATTATTTAAAAAGTTTAGTAAAATTAATCATCATCATCATCATCATCACCATCGTCATCATCATCATCATCATCATCATCATCATCATCATCATCATCATCATCATCATCATCATCATCATCATCATCATCATCATCATCATCATCTTTATTATTATCATCATCATCATCATCATCATTATCATCATCATCACCATCATCACCATCATCATCATCTTCATTATCATCATCATCATCATCATCATCATCATCATCATCTTCATTTTTATCATCATCGTAACTTCTGGATTTAACACTTTATTAGTAATTAATTTTTGCCGTATTTCAAAAGTGTATGAATCCCCCTATCATCATATCTCTTACAAATACCTGAAAACTGACTGGGACTCCATAATTTTCTTCATGATGGCTTTTGAGTAGAATTCTTCCATCTTTCTGCTGACAAATGTGCTCCTTATATAAATTCTTGGATTCAAGCTGGCGTGGAGTCATTTATTCCCTTTCAACAATCTCAAGTTAAGCCTCATAATTCTCCGGAAAACAAACGTCTGTTTACTATTGTTAGAAACTTGTAAAAAAGTTTTGATTAACGCCCAAGCACACTATTCTCAGGTCACAAAATCTGGTATTTCATCTCAAAAATTAGGCTCCAGAGACGCCTGGAGAATCTTTAACACTGCCTATAATAAAGCTAAAGCTTTTATTCCATCTCTCTTGCATGGTTTAGATTTTGTTACCTCACCTAAAGATAAAGCTGAATTGTTTGATAAGAACTTTTCATCAATCTCATCTCTTGATTCCACTAATTACATCCTACCTGATTTAGTTGACAAACAAGTTGATCCATTGCTTGATATTCGTATTACTCCAGCTTCTGTATCTAAAGTGATTTTCTGCTTAGACTCTTTTACAGCTTATGGTCTGGACAACATACCTGTTATAGTCTTGGAGAAGTGTTCCGTTGTTGTCGTCTATAATTTCAAAATTATTTAACAAGTGCTTATCAGAGTTTTGTTTTCCAGCCTGCTGGAAAGCAGCATCTGTTATCCCTAGTTTCAAAAATTCTGGAGAGCAATCCTACCAAGTCTTCTTACTATCATAAGCGAGGCTTTCGAGTATTTAATTAGCAAACAATTTATCTCTCATCTTGATTCTTAACTTAAATATAACTTATAATAACTTACTTTCGAATAATCAATATGGATTTCTTTTTAGTGCTGATTTATTAAAGGTAATAACTAATAAGTTTTATTGTACTTTATGGGTTCCTAAAAGGTTCTATTCTTGGCCCTATACCTTAAATTTAAATAAATGATCTCCTAGAAACTCTCCCTTCTAAGGTGGCATTGTTTGCTAATGATATTATCATTTCTTATCTTAATAAGAAGCCAACACTCTCTGATTGCTTGAAGGGGGCATTTGAGCTTGAATAGGACCTCACTTCAGCTACAGCATAAGGCTGGTGAAATTTAACTCAGATAAAACTCAATTTTTTTTTAGCTAATCGTTATCATAATAATATATTTGATTCCCATTGATGATGCCCTTTTTCTTTTAGACAAGGTGCAAAAACGCATTGTAAAAATAGTTGGACATGCTCTTGCATTCAACCTTTAACCATTGTCACATCTTTGTAAAGTTGCTTCTCTTTCTCTTTTCTATAAATACTATAATGGACATTGGTCTGAAGAGCTTGTATTTCTTGTGCCATCAACTAAAATTCATTCTCGTGTTACTCATCACTTAAGTCTCATTTTTTTACCGTGACTGTTCTTAAGTGCTCCAAAAATTCTTTTTTGTCTAGTTTTTTTCCTCATACATCAGTTCTTTCTCAAACATTGTTCCATTTGTTAATCCCCATTAATTAATCTGCCTGTTAATTACTTTAAATTCTTCATCTTTTTTCTCCCAGTAACTTCCAACATCCAACCAAGTGGTTGCTTGCAGCATTGTTGATATTAAAGATGTTTAAAAAAAAACAAAAAAGCAATTAATTTAAATTTAAATACTCAAATTTAATTATATATTATATTTATTATTATAAAATTTTAAAATTTGAAGATAACTATAAGATTTGCATGTTGCTTTGGGTTTATTAATTCTAAAAGCACATAATCATTCAATTTTTTTTAATGTTTTTTAATTTGCATTAGTGCTTTAGTTTAATGTGTATCAATTAGAATTATTATTTGCAGTTAATTTAAGGATTTTATAACAGTTAAATTTTTTTAAGCATTTTTTTTTGAACATTTTAAAATTATTTAATATTGCATTTACAACTTTTATTTTTTTATATTTACATATTAGTGTTGTTAGTTTTTAGTTAATTCTATCGAAGTTTTATTTTATTGCAGTATGGAACAGGCAAATATTGCAGGATAAAGCATAATATTGCAGGATAAAGCATAATATTGCGGGATAAAGCATAAGTGGTCATTTTGTTAAACTAGTTATTGTCTTTAAAGTTTATACAAAACCAACTTTTATTACTCCATATCATTTAAAGTTTTTTCTACTTTGCAGTCAATTTTTATTATATATGTTTTGCAGTCAATTTTTATTATGTTTTGACTTGATAAAATTTGTTTTAGTAATTTGATTGAAATAATTGTTTTAGTTTTGGGTTTTTAATTAGTATCTGATAAAGATTTTGTTTTAAAAGTTGTTTATGCGTTTTGTATATTTCATATTTGTCTTTAAACTAATATTAATAATCCTGTTTTTTTATTAGTCTTTAGTTGAGACAAACTTTTTTTCTCTGGAAAAATTTGCTTTTTTAAAAAATTAATTTTTCTTTATCTTAATGTATTTCATTCTTTTCATAGGCATTCACTTCTCGTGTCTAATCAGTCAGAAAATTTATGCATACAAATTTTGTTTTATATCCCTTTTTATTTCATCTTTTTATAATTGACTTGTTATGCTGCAATTTTCTTTAAGAATTTAGCTCTGGCTAAAAAACATTTTACAACAAAAATTTCACAATCCTGGTTTTTAATCTGTATTCCTTTATACTTTTTACTGCATTTGAATAGAACAAAAATTATGTTATTTTAGTATATTTATTTTCTGATTATAAAAAAAAATCAATTCTTAAACAAGGAACAAAAATTACTTATTACATTACATTGTATTACCTATTGATTGATTGGATTTCCAAGTTTTTTGCTCCACTAAAAAAAACGTAAAAAATGTAAAAACATCATCATCATCATTACTATCATCATTACCATCAACATCATCATCATTATCATCATCATCATCATCATCATCATCATCATCATCATCATCATCATCATCATCATCATCATCATCATCATCATTATTATCATCATCATTATCGTTATCAGATGTGTTTTTGCATATATATGGGTAATTTCAAATTTACCTGGGTATTACCTGGATAATTATATCTATTACTTTTCAACATTAGAGCTATAGGATACCGTTGCAATTCTAAAAATAGATATAACAAACTTTTTGTAAAGCTTTCTGGGATCGAAATGGGGAATTAATACCGATTCATAAGAAAACATGTATAAATGCGCAATAAAACAATATTATTAAGATTTATTGCTATCAGATTCTTGCTACCTTAAACATTTGCCAGCTGGTGTAATTAAAAAAAAAAAAATAGGAAGAACTAAAAGTTCGATGAAAAAAGGATAAAAGAAAAATAAAGCTTTCAAAAATATAAAAATTGAAACAAAAAGTGTTTTGACGAGAAAATCTTGTAGATTTTCTTGTCGAAAAGAAGAAAAAGAATTTCAACATAGTTGCAAATAAATGTTAGAATAGAATGGAAATATGCTGTACACTCAATTTCTTGAGTGTTAAGCCCAAACTACGCAGAGTTCGAGACTGTAACAGCTGTAACAAAACAAAATAGCTTTAAAAAATAATCGCTAATATTTGAAACTTTTGTCTATTCTGTTTTTAAATTGATTAATGGTAATCAATAAATTTAAAAACATAACAAAAATGTTTAAAATCATTATAACAAAAAAATTTGTAAGCTCTTCATTAGTTCTGATATAAATACAGAATAAAGCATAGTTGATTTTAATACTGAAAATAACCATGATTTTATTGTTGATTTTCTGTATTATTTAGTCCTTTATCATATTAACATGAAAAATATGACTTAATCGTCATAATGAATCTCAATCTACATATTTTAATATATAATCGTATATAACCATATCAACTTCAGTCATCAATATCAATGTCAATCATATATCAATATCTACATTATATATAATTAATATCATCAGTTCAATATCAAATATTCCAGCTCAAGGAGTATGAGAATTAAAACAAAGTCTTAATAGTTATCTGTAAAAAAGCAAAAGTATCAAATTTTATATCCGAGTAGCATTAGTGATGTGGCTATATTTCCAAAGTGTGGAATTATGGAGTATTTAACCTTAAGATTCTTTTTCTTGTCTATAAAAAGCTTTGCTTTTACAGAAACAAGCAAATATTTTTATTGCACTATTTTTAAGTGTGTGAAAAGTTTACAAAAGAAGAGATCATGAAAAGAAGATATAATGAAAAGAAGAGATAATGAAAAGAAGAGATAATGAAAAGAAGAGATAATGAAAAGAAGAGATAATGAAAAGAAGAGATCATGAAAAGAAGAGATCATGAAAAGAAGAGATCATGAAAAGAAGAGATCATGAAAAGAAGAGATCGTGAAAAGAAGAGATCGTGAAAAGAAGAGATCATGAAAAGAAGAGATAATGAAAAGAAGAGATAATGAAAAGAAGAGATCATGAAAAGAAGAGATCATGAAAAGAAGAGATCATGAAAAGAAGAGATCGTGAAAAGAAGAGATCATGAAAAGAAGAGATAATGAAAAGAAGAGATAATGAAAAGAAGAGATCATGAAAAGAAGAGATAATAAAAAGAAGAGATCATGAAAAGAAGAGATAATGAAAAGAAGAGATAATGAAAAGAAGATATAATGAAAAAAAGAGATCATGAAAAGAAGATGTAATGAAAAGAAGAGATCATGAAAAGAAGAGATAATGAAAAGAAGAGATAATGAAAAGAAGAGATAATGAAAAGAAGAGATAATGAAAAGAAGAGATAATGAAAAGAAGAGATCATGAAAAGAAGAGATAATGAAAAGAGATCATGAAAAGAAGAGATCATGAAAAGAAGAGATAATGAAAAGAAGAGATAATGAAAAGAAGAGATCATGAAAAGAAGAGATAATGAAAAGAGATCATGAAAAGAAGAGATCATGAAAAGAAGAGATAATGAAAAGAAGAGATAATGAAAAGAAGAGATAATGAAAAGAAGAGATAATGAAAAGAAGAGATCATGAAAAGAAGAGATAATGAAAAGAAGAGATAATGAAAAGAAGAGATCATGAAAAGAAGAGATAATGAAAAGAAGAGATCATGAAAAGAAGAGATAATAAAAAGAAGAGATAATGAAAAGAAGATATAATGAAAAGAAGAGATAATGAAAAGAAGATATAATGAAAAGAAGAGATCATGAAAAGAAGATATAATGAAAAGAAGAGATAATGAAAAGAAGAGATAATGAAAAGAAGAGATAATGAAAAGAAGAGATAATGAAAAGAAGAGATAATGAAAAGAAGAGATCATGAAAAGAAGAGATAATGAAAAGAA